GCGGGGGTGGGGCGGGGGCGGAGTCGTGGGTGGCGCCGATGCGAATCGGACAGGCAACACGCGACTCACTTATACCTGCTCCCGTTCCATGCTCTGCCTTCAAGACGCCGGCGCATGATGCAATGGTTCTATACTTGGGACCTAGAATGTGCTAAAACCGTTTTAAAAGTAATTTCTTCACAGGATATCGTTCGCGGACTGCACTAGCTGCACAACGCAAAAATCAGGAATCGAGATAAACGAGTTAAAAGTTTTAAAAATTATTGAAATGTATCATTCTTTTATTCACAATTCTGCCGTTTGTTCGTGGAATACGGTAACACACGCTGCAGTTGCTGCTGAAAGGTAGACCAATCTGCAGTAGGGAAGAGTGCATCAACTGAAAATTCACAGTTTCTGAGTTGTACCACTATCGCAGCCCTCGAGCGATATCATGAATGCACTCGTTAGGTCCTTTTACACGCAGAAACTTCAAGATCCTAAACTAGAAGTATAAAAGACAAAAGTCGCGTTTCGGTCAATACTTTTTCTACACGATACGCCGCCAGAGGCTCTGCTAGCCCAAAAATAAATCCCTGAATTGCGCAGATAGAGTACATCTATTCCCGATATATGTGTCCGTGCGTTTTGAGCTACTTTATGAACACCTTTTTTAAATTATTGATGAAAATGGGGAGAAAAAGTTACAGGATGAAATCGTCGGTACACTCATGGGGTAGTGGCTGCCAAGGCTTGAAGTCTCTCAGTGACCGACACGGAGGATCCACAGTCTACGCGGAATGGCCGCGGCGGAAATTTCGTGTCACTTGTTGCCTTATGAGCACGTTCAGACCTGCGCGGCAGGCGAGCGTCGCGGCGGCGTTTAATCCGCGGCGGATTTTCTAACGCAATCGGACGCGTTTCGTCCGCTGCCGCTCGAGTTTCGTGGAAGTCCACTCGCCTTGGGGAGACTTCGCTCCCGTTGCCTTTGTTTATCGAATGAGGAAAAGTGTCACGAGACGCTGAGTGTAAATTGACGCTGCGGTGGCAACGGACCCAGGAATTTTGACGCCGGGGCCTAGCGCGGAACTTTCCGTGCCGTTTTGTGGAAGCCCCTGCGGATCTTACGCGCCGGTCTGTGGGAGCCTTCAGACTCTAAAGTTTAGAGAGTGCGCAGAAAAAAATGCGCCAAGTGAAGTCTTGCCAGCAGAAATGAAATACAGTAACACCTTACATCACATTTGCAAGACGCAAATGAAACACACTCCCCTGAAGAGAGGAGAGAACCGAAACCGCCATACTAAAACGCAATATCGCACGAATTGCACCTAACCTAACCACAAAATTGGACTACTCCCGCCGTAAGTAAAGCTATTAATGAACGAGTTTGTATCAAGAAGCGCTAGAGTCAAATTACGTCATCTGGATGAAAACAAATCGAACAGGTTCAAAAGGTTTCATGCGCAAATTGCGCAGTCTGGACTGCACAATCTGCACGAACACAACCGTGCATAATTGCACATATAACAGAAATTAAATTGTCTACGCAACCGCCATGAGCTCTAATGAACTATTATTCCCAACTCAGTAGTATGTGAACACTGAAATGAACAAATAAATTGCAATACAATTTTATATAATCTTACACTTTGCTAATGAAAATCCGATGGTCATGGACGGGAAGTCGGTAAGGAAAACAAGGGGTACATTTTCAGAAATTTATCATTGCCGACTTCCCTTTTTATTGAATTTGAATTAATGCCTTATTTTACGTGGCGAGACTCGGGCCATCAGGCCCGCTCTTGCGCCTGACCACACAAATTTTGCTACGCTCCTTTCACCAACTAGCAGAGAAAGGAGGTATTTCTTGGGCGAGAAACAGGCGATTTTGAATTCAGCTCAGAGGCGTCATTTAGGCTTGAGGATCTCTCACATGCAAGTAAATCTACTAACATGGGACAGCCGGCTCTACTTCCCCTCCGAAGGAAGGCGTACGAAGGACACTTTTGCCCTTAAAAATCCACAGCTTCGATCGGGATTGAACCCGCCAACTGCTTGCCCGGCGACGAGTTGACTCAACTCCCGTGCTGACACACGGAAACTATCGCTGCTTTTAATTTACCTTATAGATGCTCAAACCCCTTCGGCTCGAATGCATTGTTGGCACTTCCGGAACATATTCCGATTTACCATTTGAAGTAGTAAGTCCCTAAGGAATTGCAGCAATTTTCTCTTCAATAGAGCGCCGGATCTCTTCCTCCGAATGCGAGCTTTCTGCTTGCACCTGAATATTCTCGCCTGGAAGTTTCTTAACTATCCTCTTGTGGCACTTTCTTACGTCAAACGTTGTCGTTAAGAAATATTCTCTCCTTCAAAAACAGTTTTATAACGCACAGGTGATCGCTCTCGGGACACCGGCGATGTATCGGCCGGTCGCGCCAAACGCTTCGGATGAACGGGGCCCTTGTGGGACTAGTCCCCGGGGCACCGTGGGCTTGATCGTTGGGGCAAGCGGTGCGTCATCTTCGCCGAAAGACGAAATGAACACCCTGAAGATCTAATTAGTAGATGATGAGAGACAAATGAACAATCCTGCTCGCGATGATCGCATGATGTAGATAATGTTCTTATGAAAGGAATGGATTTAAGGAAGGTAAAATATTGATTCAAATTAACAGGTAACTAACAAATTATATATATATATATATATATATATATATATATATAATGTTTTTGTT